TCATGTATGCAAGCTGGTCTTGCCATAGAAGGCTTGCCCGCCAGCCCAAATTGTCCCTGAGTGATTTGTTCCTCACTGACAGCTTCCTCCCACAGGATGATAGACTGGCAATGAACCCTTAGTGCTGTCATGATTTTTCCATTATTATATATTAGAGCCCCCAAGTGCTGAAAGGACCCAGCTAGCTCCAGCTAAGTGTGTATGATAGGACCAAACTTGCCCCTGATGAAAGAGCGTTGGACAGAGAGAGGTAACAGGGATGTTTGGTCCAGTATTACAACACACCATGCCTGATTTGAACTGTCAAGGCCTCCTGAGTCCCCCTTAGTCACACACAGTCAGACCTTACTCCCCAAGCAGGCTCCATGGATTTCACTGAAGTTACCCAGGGAGCAAAGCACTTGTCTGTGTGTGTGAAGAGGACAGAATCTGGCCCTTAGAGGGGACTCTAAGAGGCACACTTGAGCTGGATCCTTTTGTGCTCCTGGCATGGACTTCGGCTACATCCCCTGTGGGTTAAAGACTGGAGCTGCATTTCTGTTCTTTCCTGGCTTGCCTGTCTATGCTTTCCTGCAGGCTCCATTGCAGTGTCTCTTAGTATCAGTGTGTTGTCATGACTATTGTGGAGGTGAATCGAGCAGGAGCAGCCCAACTGAGCAGCCCAACTTGTGTATTAGGCATTCCCTAGGTCCGGAGGCTTTAGTCACATGACAGCGCTTGCCCGTCTATGCAATCATGGGCACTGCAGGGAGGATGAAACCTAAGCTCCCCAAGTGCTTCATTCCAGATGAATGCCAGAATGCAGAGCTGCTCATCTGGAAGTGTGCCAGGAGGAAAACAGCTGAAAATCCCTAGAAACACACCTGCCTGTCACCACTCTGGATAGTACCTTTTCAGTGCCCATGTCAGTTTTCACCCAGCCTGGATGGATTGCAGTACACAGGATGCCAACTTCCTGAAGCTCTACAGCCAGGCACCTTGTCACCATGTTCAGAGCAGCCTAAAAAATAAGCCACATGTCTGCAAGGGCTCCTTCCTAGCACAGTATGCCAGCCAGAAGTCAGGGAAACAGACAAACTTATGTTGGGAATGGAGGCGTGTTCTTAAGCTTATGAGGGTTTAGAGTTTGGACATCAAATGTATTATGAAAAAACTGTCCATTGGAGACCAGCCTGTTCCTCCTGTGAGGCCATGCTATCATATTTCCTTCAAGAAAGACTGGGGATATTTAGGTTCTTGATTTGAGTCTTCCTTGGATCAGAGTTAATGAGGAATGACTGCATTCATTTACTGGAACTTCTCTGGAATTATACTGGTATAACCAACTGGAGTGAACTGGGAGACACACACACAGGGGCAGATCCAGGATTTAGCACAGGGGGATGCAGGAGCAGCCATCTGCATAGTGCTCCCAGTCTCCTTCCACAGGCATGGGCAGACCACACTGAGGGAGCCTCTGGAGATTTTTTAAAGTTGTCAGAGCAGGTAAGCATCCCTGCCTCCCTCTGTGTACTCAGAGGCATGTCCCCTTGCCTCCCCTTCCACCCATTGTCCTCCAGTGGCTGCTGCTTTCCCAGGTGTTTTGGAGCTGTTCCTGCCCTCTCCAGCTTGTCTAAGTAGGGGATCATCTTAACGGGGAAGAGCAGCAGCAGCAAGGGGGACAGGGTGGGTTCCACAACACTGCCCTTCCCCCCCCAAGAGCAGGCATGGGAAGCTGCTGCCACTGTGACTGCTCTAGGTGAGTCCAGTCCTCCTGCAGCCCAGATGGAGCAAATAGGAGCATCTCTAAAGATTCCCCAGGTCTGTGGCAGTGGGGAAACAGCAGGGCAGGTGAGGGGACAGAGGAAGTGGAGGGAAGAGGATTGCCTTCTTCTTTTAAAAAGTCCTCAGCAGCATGATCCAGTCCAGAAGGGAGGTGCAGCCACAGCACCACATCCCTTCTGCCTCATTTGCCTTTTAGTGTACCTCCACAGGGACTTGTCTTGAAGGCTACCCAGGTATCCTGATACTTTCAAAGGAGGAATGAAAAGGAGAGCTCCACCAGGCAACTTACCTTGCTGGCCCTGTAAGGGTACATGGGGGCTTGCAGTATTCCAAAACCCAGTTCAATGGAACCCCCTAAACTGGACATGTTGATGATTGCTGCCTTACTGCAGCTCAGTCCTTCCATGTTGGCTTCCTTTGCTGCCTCCTTCAGCAGGGGGAGAAATTCCTAACACAAATTAAACCACAAGTCATGGCTTTGCCAGCATAGTAAAATAGATACACACACTTGAATATAGAGAATGCTGAGGGTCTACCTCACTTCTCCCTGGGCTTGACTGATAGACTAAGGAGAGCAGAAAACTGTAAGACAAGATTAGAGTGATAGGAGACAAAGGTGATCCTGGCAGCATCCCTTGGATAGACTCCAGGCAAGAAAGCTGGGAAGCAGAGGGCCAGTAAGGCAGAAGTCAGAGCAGATGGCATGTTTAACTGAGGTGTAGCCAGAGGTTGAGGTGGGGGAGGTGTTTGGGCAGTGAGAGCTGGGGGGAGGCTGTTTATAGTCCGTGACTTAGCGTAAGAAATGAGATGCCTGTGGGATAGAGGGAGGGGGTCCTGCCATGAGAAAATTAAGGCTGCATTTACACGAGACGCTGAATGTGCAGTAGCCCGAGACAACTGTGCAGTAACATCGCTTGGCAGAAACTGTGATGCAATGCTACTGCGCAGTTGTCTTGGGCTACTGCACAGTCAGCATCATAACAAAGCAAACACAGGAATCAGGAAGCCACTCCCCATTCAAGGGACATGCAGGGAGACAGCATCAGTTGTCTCAACATCTCTTATCCCTGAGGCAGTGACTGTAAATCCTGAATGTTCCTCTCATCTGGTATTTGGCCTTGGCACTATGAACCTATGGAGATGACCTTGATGCTCTTTGGTACTTGACTTTGACACCTGCCTAGCCTCAACTGTTATTTATTCTGTTTGTGGGTAAAGGAGATAATGAACAGCCTCATGACTCATATTCCCTTTTCCCTCTTTATAAGACTTGTTATAAATGATAGGCGGCTTCAGATGCCGAGGGAACCCCAGGTGATCCAAAACCTTGACATGGTAAGTACCTCTCCAAACATGCCCCAGTAAAGTAAGTGCCAAGGAGCCTTAGAGGTGGATGATGTGGGCAACTGCTCAGGGCACCATGTTCAGGGGGAGGCACCCTGCCCTGCTCTGGCCAATCCCTGCCACCCCACTTCCAGTCTCTGCTTAGGAGGAACTTGGTATGGGCTGCTGGCTGGGAAGGAACCAACCGTGAAGCCAGAAGCCCGCACCCCAGCCAGGTCCCTGCAGTGCCACCATGGGGGTCAGGGGAGAGGGGTGCAGCAGTGCCACTCATTCAGCTCCTGCCTGCTGGAGGCCCTGGCCCAGAAGGCAGGAACAGGCTGCACTCTGCGCCAGTCAGTGCAGCCCCTGCCCCCTCCGCACCCATCCAGGCCAAGGAGAGGGGCCCCATGTGCAGCCATTGAGTCTGCCTCACCTGCCCCAGCCAGCTCTGGCCCTCCCTTGCCATGGGCAATGACCACAGGGCTGATCCTGGGGCTAGCAAGCATGGTAGGTGAGGGCTGGGACTGGGGCCAGGGCTGGTGCAGGGAGCCCCTGCCTGCCTTGGGCTGCCCATGCCACTTCCATGAGGAGCCATGCTAGTGGAGGGTGCTGGTGACATCCATGTGAGACTCTGCAGACCACTGTCCCCCACATTGTTTCCCCTTCAGCCATGTCTCTCTGCAGCTCGGGCTCCAGGCAGTCTTTGGGTCGGGGTGGGGGGGAGGTGGAAAGCAGCAGAGCCACAAGAAATGGTGGGGAGAGGAAAGCAGACATGATGACCGAGGCAAGGCCGAAGCGACCCCTGGGGCAGATTGAGGAAACGTTCTGGGCTGGATGAAGGAGCCATCAAAATACAAGTTCACCCAGGGCATAATTTTCCTTAAGGCTGGCTCTGCCAAGGAGGGTGTACATACCTTGGCCACCTGGAGAGGACCAGCCACATTGGTACTGAACACAGAGAGCATCTGCTGCGGTGCCACTGACTGAAGTGAGTCATGGGAATTGATCGCTCCATTGTTGATGAGCAGGTTTAAGCCCCTTCCATTCAACTGGGACTCCACCACCTGTACAGCTGCTTTTATGGTGGCCAAGTTTACTGCATCTGCAAGGAAACAAAAGGGTGCAGAGGAGACTGTTCAAACAAAAAATAGCAGTCACACCCTCCACAATACTCCAGAGGGACTGGCACCATAGTGACCTCATGCCCTGACTCTCTGCACGGGGGGTGACTGGTTTGCTACAGCCAGCAACTGGGGACAAAGTTTAAAACCAGGCTTAAGACAACTCTAGAGAATTTGCTGAAGAAAGCAGTCCTACATTGGTGCCAGGGAATAGATGAGACAAGGCCTAGCAGATGGTGGGACTGGACCAACACTGCTGCTTCTGAAGAAGCAGTAGATGCAGGGGTTTGACACCCCTGGCATGGTAGAAAGGATTCAAGTATGAACAGTGCGTGCCCCTGGCGGCTGGGAGGGCACAGCGGTGGCAGGAGCACGGCGGGAGTGGCGGGAGCATGGTGGCGGTAAGCTGGGAGCTCCTGCAGACGTCACTGGCACTGTCGGCAGTGGGGGTAGGGGTGGCAAGTGCCGACCAAGGGCCACTGCCGGTGGCATTGGCAGCAGCCAGCGAGGATCACGGACCACCTGCAGATGCCGCCGGTGGTGTTGGCAGCGGCATGGCAAGTGGCGACTGCCTGCAGGCACCACTGACACTCTCAGTGGCACCTTTTTTCAGGTGGTGCACCACCATGCTCAGGGGGTACACATGCATCCGCATGCACCCCCTACATGTCGCCCCTCGATTCAAGAATGTAAGAACTGCCATGTTCTGGGTCAGACTATAGGTCCATTTTGCCCAGTACCCTGCGTCACAAAGTGGCAGACAGTGGATGCTGAAAGGGACAGTGAACTGGGTATGACCAGGGCTTTTTCCATTGTTCCTCTCTGGGCACATCTATGCATGTTATTAATGTGATTTAGACTTACTGCACAGTAAAATAAGGTACAGTAAGCCATCCCTGGAAACATGTCTACATGTGTACCCTCTCCGGCACAGATTTGCTCCTCGTGGGAGTAGACAGATCCAGACATGCTCCTACTCTGCTCTGCCCCCTTGCAGCAGCCAGGGGGAGCTTCAGGTAGTTGCTGCAGGGGCGGGGTGAGGGGCTCAGGCTGCTAGGGGGCTCCAGTGGGGGCAGGCTCAGCCTAACAAGGGACAATGTCCTGGGAGCCTGTGTCCAGTGCACCATGGACACTTCCTGTCCTCCCCTCCAGCAGCAGTGGACAGGGCACCATGTCTGAGGCACTCATGGATCACCTCCTCCCCCCACAGCAGGGTGCCTGAGAGGCCATGCATGGGCCTCAGAACCACAGGGCAACCCCAAGACCACGCACACTACAGACAGTTTCAAGCAGCAGTTTGTATTTCCCTCCCCAAGAACAGACTCCCTCCCACTCTCCCTCCCCAACAGCAGACCCCACCCCTAACCCCACCACCACTAAAGCACCCTCTTCCCTGTACAACTACATACAGTGTGGCGTGTGACCTCCCACGGGGTGGACAGTGGGGTGGAGGCACCTACAGGGCAGAGCCCAGGGAGAGGCACACAGCACCCTAGCCTCTGGCCACACCACTGCGGGTGTGGATGCTGTGGTGAGGCTGGCAGGCTGGGGGTGAGGGAGGCCGCTGTTCAGGCTGTGCTGCCTGCTCCCTCTCCTCCATCATGGGGCTGGGCCCAACGGGGCCCACGTGCGGTGCTGACCCCACTGTGGGCAGCTCCCACTCACAGGGCTGCATGGTGTCTGAGAGAGTAGTGCCCCAGGTGGGGGGCCTGGCTATGGGAGAACCTGGCTCAGGAGCAGGGGCGGGGGATCCTGGCTGCTGCAGGTGGTGCTGCACCTCATCCCAAGCCCGCTGGAGAGCTTGGTGCCGGGCAGCAGGTGGTTGCCAGGAGGACAGCGGAGCCGGGGCTATGGGCTGGGCTGCCGGTGAATGCCAGGGGGCAGGCAGAGCTCAGGCCAGGGACTGGGCTGTGGGCAGCATGAAGGTGACTGCCAGGGCCAGGATGGTGTCCAGCACCCAGCGGTCCTCCTTCGTGGCCTCCGCTGCCTGGACCACCACAGCAGCCTGCCGCTCCCGCTCCTTGAGCATCTTCTCAAGGAGGGCAGTGTGCCTCTCCTCGAAGGTGAGGAGCCTGTCCTGGAAGGCATGGTCGTCTGGTCTCTCTCCCACTTGCGCTCCATGTCTTGGGTGTGCCAGGCTCGTGAGTCTGCCAGCCACTCCTCTGCCACAGTGACCAGCCAGGCCAGCAGGGTGTGGTCTTGCATGCACTGCTGGTGGAGATGGCGCATGCAGAGAGCGCTAGCTGATGGTGGCAGCGTCTTTGCAGATTCATCCCTGCCGGCAGCTGGTGCTTCTCCCCTGTGTGCCGTTGCTGGACCTGCAGAGCAAGGACAGAGAGGCTCTTTGTGAGAGTTTGCAACATTTCAGAGATAATATGCACTGTTCCAAGGGGCTGTGCGCTACCTGGGCTCAGATTGGAGGTTGTGAACGCAGAGGTGCCCATGATAAGTTGGCTGGCTCCTGCCACAGGCTGAGCCCTCTGTCCCCACTCCCTCCACTTGCTTGGCACTTGCTGCAGGCAGCCTGCCTTTCTGGACCCCTACCTGAGGTAGGGCAGGGCTGGCTCCTGCAGACAGCTGCCATGGCAGCTCAAAACCATCTGCCCACACTTCTCTACCTACAGGCCAGGCAGTTTGCTCCTGTGGTGCCAGGCCTGCGGTCCCTGCGGTTGGGAGGTGAGGGGCTCCTGCATGGCTGGGACACATAGCTGGTGGCATGCCCCCCACTCCTCCTGGTGGTCCCCTTCAGAGAGGTACCTTAGGCCAGGGCCTCCGCTGTGCATGGTGCACCCCAAACATGCCCCTGCTGAGAGTCCCCTGGGTGTGCCATTATGGACTGTACAAATGCACTGAAGGGTACCCGACCCATTATGCCCTACCGCTGCTGGTTGCCATGGTGCCCTGAGCACAGCTGAGAACCTGGTGTGGGGCCCTGAGCTGCAATGGCGCCCCAAGAAACCCCACACTTCCCTGCAATATGTGCTGCTGCCTGGAGGGGTATCTCTGCCTGTGCTATGAGTACCTGACCCCCATGATTGAGGAAATCACCATTGCCATCAACGAATTTCTCTGCATGTGACAGGCCCCTGGCTGCCTATCTGGGAGGGAGCTGGCTGCTTAATAAAGTTCTGCACTGCCTCCCGTCTCCCTGTGTGTTGTGTGTTGAGGGAGAAAACCCCGGGAGGGGGGCAGGCTGCAGGGCCCCTGACTCCAGGTGTGCAGCCCTGGGGGTGGCTGGGTGAGCTGGTGTGGGTACGGGTGGCTGTGGCACCCCCTTCCCCCTCCTCCTTGTGTGGGGCTTACCAGACTGGCATGGAAGGCGGTCTTGGTCGTCCAACTCAATCCCTGCTGGTGGTGAGGTGGTGCAGCTGCCTGCAGTGTCCCAGGGTGTGGAGGCATGGCACTTGGGTGCTTTAGCAGTGACCCCTTCCCAAGGAGGAGCTGGAGCTGGAGCTGTTCATGACTGGCACCATTCCCAGCCTCTCCTCCCCGCTGTGGCTGCATGCCCAGAGTTGGTGGTGCAGGTGCTGGTGTGGGCTCTCTGGGCTGCCAAACAAGGCCAGGGGTGGGGAGCACACCAGGACTTGCTGCTTGTGCCCTGAGGGGCCCTGCCCCACAAACTGCTCTTCACTGCCAGGCCTTAGCAGAGGCTCTGACAGGCTGCCTATGCTGGAGTAGACATGGTAGGTCCAGGGTCCCTTATGACAGGGTGGCCATCAGAGAGGACATTCTAGTTTTCTGCTACTCTGTCCTCTGTTGATAAGAAACCTGACATACATAAAGGCATCCGGTTTTGTATCAATAGAGGACAGAGGACAACTGGACTGTCCTCTATGATGGCCACCCTACTCATGAGGAGGACCACCAGGTGCTTTACTGTGCAGTCTGTAATACTGAGAGGCAGCACAGGTGTGTAGGAGTCGTGCGTAAGGACTCATGCATGTAAACTTTAATCTGTTGAGGAGGGAAAATCCAGGGGGGCACTACCTGTAAGTACCCACTTCCGCGCTTTGTTTATATGATTATTCTACCCTAAGTGCAGGATACGGTACTTGTCCTCACTGAATTTCATTTGACTAATTTCATACCACTTCTCCAGTTTATCAAGGTCATTCTTGACCTTAATGCTACCCCCCAGAGTGACTGAAACTCCATTCCGTTGCACTCAGGTGCACTTAGTCTCATCTTTTAGATTGCTAACAAAGCTTAAACAATATTGGACCCAGGGCCAGACCTTTGGGAAATCCCGCTTGAAATCTCCTCCCAACCAACCATCCACCATTGCTGACTGCTCTTTAAGCATGATGATCCAGCTAGTCAGGTTTCTACCTGACAATACTTTCATCTAAACTGTATTTCTTCAGCTTACTGATGAGATTGCCATGGGAGACAGTATCAAAAGCCTCACTAAAATCAAGGTATATCACATCCGCTGCTCCCCCACCCCTGTACACAGAGCCCAGCACTTTGTCAGGGAAGACAAAGAGATGTTTGAGCATCCATCAGTGATGGGACACAATGCCAGTACTCTGGATCAGGGGTCAGCAACCTACAGCTTGTGGAACCATTGATTCTGGCCTGCAGACATGGGGCTTTGACAGTATTCAGTGGTAAGGAGCTTCAGCTGCAGGTGCTCTCCCACTGCTGCTGCAGGGATAAGAAGGTGGTAGCAAGGTTCTAGCCCCCACCCTTCTCTGATCTGGGGTAGGTCATCCTGGCCTGCAGCCAGAAAAGGTTGTCAACCCCTGCTCTGGACCATTGGGAAGGCTTCTGACAGGTCTTCTCTAAGCCATTTGTGGATAGTTATTGCTAGGTGGGACAGCCCTTACATACAAACACTTGATTAGCTCTCCCCCAGATAATGAACCAGAGGCTCAGCTCATAGCTTACAGATGCTTTGATCCCCAAGTAAAAGGCCAACAAGCAGCCTCCTTGGGAGAGAGATTTGTAAGGAATGGGTAGGGCACTGTAAGGGGCTTCT